GTGTTAACCTGAGTCACAGGCAGTAGTTGTAATCTACCATACTGGACCAGCAGGCGATAGCAGTGGGATCTAACATCCATACACCATATGGAGCTCACAGCAGTACACACACTCACACACACACTGCGCTCTACAAGAATTCAGTGATGTAAATAAATGACACTGGTGGGTTGTAGAAAGTGTGGAGGACAAAAACAGATGGTTGGAAAGTGAAGAAAAGGGTGTAAAAGAGAGTGAGAGCAGATTTTTTATGAAAACAGACCGGAGGAGATAAAAAAAAAAGACTGTTTGTGTCACTGCAATGTGGAGGGTGAATGTCACCAGTAACCGTCTCTAGCAGACAAAATAAACTCAGCTGACATTTAGGAAGCGAGGTGAAAAAAACAAACTGTTAGGTAGCAGGACAAAGTCCTCTGTAATAATCATTTGTTTGCTTCCCCCACATCTTCTTCTTCTTTTTCATCTCCCTCATTAGTCCATCTCTGGCCTTTCTTTCTCTCACATCCTTTGCTATTGATCTGGGGACTTGAAGGCCAGTCACTGGGGATGTGTGTGCTGCTCAGAGACCCACACAGTCAGAATTAGGTGCCTCCATTTGGTCCACTAAACTACATAAAATTGAACTAGTAGTTTAGCTTTCGGTTCTAAAGGCTTACAAATCAAGACATAACGAAAAAAAATCCAGCCCTTTCCAGGTCCTGAAATTAGGCAATGACAATGTCAGATGAAGAACAAAGCATGACATATTACACCATGTCATTATTTATTTAGCAAAAACAAAGTGCAATAACCTGAAGCAATGGTTTTCTGTATGACTTTATCAGCCTCTCACATTATTGTGGGAGAACTCATAGCCCTCATCTTTACAATGCTGCTTCAGTTTATTGAGGTCAGTGAGCGTTCATTCATGCACAGCTCTCTTAAGTTCCCACCCCAGTATTTAAACCAGGGCGAAGCATGGACGTTGGACCATTGCAATGCTTTCTTTGATCTTTTCAGTCATTCTGTTGCAGATTTGCTGCTGAGCCCGGATCCCTGTCCTGTTGCATGACTCAGGATGGGCCAAGCTGTCAGACAGATGGCCTCACATTTGACTCTAGCAGACTTTCATGGTTGACTCAGTGCCATACTTGTTGAGTTTGCTCCTAATTGTACTGTCATGAACGTTAACATTTAACATGCTAACCATTCTTCTTTTTTTAGTTTAGGAGTGATTCAAGCAGCTCAATTCTTTTCTCTATTTAAATGAAGGATTTTTTACCTTTACTGCCACACAAATGCATAACACTGACTACCTCAGCTGAGAAGGCCCGATTAGGAGGATTTTATTGCTACAATGTTACTTTTTGTTTTATATTTTATATATTTTTTATTTGAACTATTTCTTCAAAGCAGCTTTATAAAACTAGATTTATTCAGTGGGTAGTTTTATTTTAGATCAATTACTTCTAGTATGAAGTAATAGGTTAATTGCAAAGCTATGCCTTCAAAGTAGTTTCCCCAGCACTGAGCAGAACTGACAAAGAGCTGTGAAGATTGTCCTTTTAAATCAGCTTAAGAAGACTTAACAAAAACACGGTCCTGTAATAATAATGGGATACGATGCTCTTTTTGGAGTTTGTTTTTGTGGATTCAGGATGATGGATTAGTTGTAAGTTATTCAGGTCACAATCTCCACTGGTGGTATGAGCTTGGAGTCCCCCTGGGCTGCAAAGCACTTTTAAAGGTGGCAGGTGGTCCAGTGGCTAGTGGTGTTACATCTCTGTTTTTTCAAAAGCAACACTTTGCTTAAAGAAAAATCAAAGCTTTGCTGTTTAAAGTCCAACACCAGTTGAAACACCAGTTTAAAGCAATAAATCCATGTTTTTTCTCATATGACTGGGGTTCTCTCTGTAATACTGCAGTGTCTTTGTGTTACAATATCATTCACAATGCAAAGTCCCTGTTTTAATAAAGTCTGCTTCCACTTGGACGTGTTTATCTGGTGAACAGAGTCCATTCCTGCAAAAGCAGAGCCACCTTAAACTTTTCTGACAGTTCACATATTTGCCTGAAAGAAAATACAGCATGCATTTTCACACAGTGTGGATGTTAATATCAGCATAGCCTGATAGAATAGTACAGGTTCATGCAAAAATGTGGAAAATATCCCTATGTGTAGCCTGTCAACAGCAATGTATTTGCTGGATATCAAAATAAAAGCAGGTATACACACAGTGACTTTCACCCTGTGACAGCTGAGATAGGCTCCAGTCCCCCCGGTGACCTGAATTGAATAAGTGGGTAAGAGAGTGGATGGATTTTATGCACATAATGCTTACTTTTGTCTGCCTAACATGTTTGATTTGGCCGACTTTTTAAACCGGATGCCTTCTTGACTCAAGCTCAAAGGTGTCAGTATCTCCTCACCGGAGCTTGCTCACTTGCTAGGTGAATAAACCACAACACCAGTTGGTATGTGCATAATAAGAGACAAAATTAATTAGAAAGCTCCAAAAACAGTGCACAAAGCAAAGGTTATTCAGCTGAAAGTCACAGTACCTTGCCCAGGTCTTCAATTCTGGCAAAGTCATGCTCTTGCCCCTCTTCAGCTGCACTACAGCAGTGACTTTTTGACCCCACGTGGCATCTGGGGCTCCAATCACAGCAACATCTACAAGGTTAAATATGACAAAAAATCAGACAAGCTGCAGGTAAAATTCAGCTACTCCTTTATTTTTGTCTTTCTCTACAGCAAAAGGACACCAAACTCATTTTTGATGAGTTACCTTCAGCACATAACTGCTGGATATTAACAGTGATCAAATGGTTGAGGTGCTGGTTCAGGGCTTTAATTACATGTGTCTTACAGCGGTGACATTACTTCATTCCACTTACCCGTGATGTCTGGATGAGCCAGAAGGTGACGCTCCACATCAAGTGCGCTGATCTTGTAGCCACCACTCTTGATGATGTCGACACTGGTGCGACCCATGATCCAATATACGCCGTCTTTATACACAGCGGTGTCTCCTAGAATACAGACAGGCCCATACAAGAAGGACAATGTGATGTAAGGGAAACACGGGGAAAATTACAGTCATAATTTTCTGGAACACCATTTCTATAGTTATTAAGCCCAATTACAATATATATACCTAAAAACAAGGCTGATAATGAACTCAATTAAAAAAATTAAGTAATATTTTTTTATAGCTAAGAATAGGGAATGTAGGGTATGTAAACTTGTATCTGTGTGTAAGAGAGCGTGTGTGTTTGAGACACAAAGTCAGATAACAGTGGATGGATGAGTGTTTAAGTTGCCCCATCCTCCAGACATACATCCTCCACAGACCCACGCACACTCATACATAAGTTTCTGGGGGACAGGTGTGGGGGAAGGCGAGTACAGTATGTGGGATGAGGGGCGCAGCTGCGCTCGTGTATGACGAGCTGGGGAAATGGGTCAGTATGGATCAGTGGGGAGAGATTAGGGAGAGAAAAATGGACGGAGGAGGGAAGGAGAGGAAGCCTGAAAATAAGGATCAGGAATATATTCTTTAGCAGAATTACATTGGGGCTGTCCACAGCTGAAACAGAGAGTGGACGCAAGTGTGTGAGACACTGTGATGAAGTGATGCATAGCAGTTAAGGTTGGATGAATAGGTTAAAAGGTCAGCGAAGGTCAGGGACTGTTCAAATATGCAAAGTGAACCTTTACGTCTTAAAGCCAGCTGTGATGTTAGAAAATCTGACTCTTTTTCACACATTTACTATGACAACTTTTCACATCTTCCAGTTATCATCATGCTCAGCTGGGTTTTTTCTCTATCCAGGAAGTTGGTAGGTGGAGTTGGGAAGCTTGTTTGCATGAACCAGCAAGATCTGGGCTGAGCAGAGAGCAAAGTGCATACAGGACTGCCATCTGGGTTATTTCTCTCTCTCCTTGGGCTCCTGGCCTCTTTTCCTCGTCTGTCTTTGGTTTGCTCTTCCAAACCAAAGACACAAAGACCCATGTATACACTCAGCCCTCCATTAAACACACTACTGGCTGACGTGACTACTTGAATATCTCATAATTTCAAAACTGCCCCTGTGGAGTTTCTAAGCAAACAGAAACTCTGGGAATTTTCTACTTTCTGCCAAGAAACAGTCCTCTCAGTAAATGCTCTGTAAAAATCCTACACTCTTGATTTTATTCGTATTTTTTCTATTAGCATATTCATTAGTGTGTTTTAGAGGTGCTTATAAACAGATTCAGCACTTTGTCCTGAGGATGTCATGAGCTCAGATTTTCACTACATAATTATTATGACCAAAAGAATTCTCTATAAGGACATTATTATGATGGCCATAGAAATCTTTAATTTACTTTTCATGTGTTTAGTGTCCTAGTCACACTTGGCTGGGAACACCTTGGCAGCTACCAGGGTTGGTATGGAAAAAACTGTAGTTTCCATCTGGTTGGCAAGTGGTTGCTGGCAGTTGTTGTGAAACCAATTTCAAACGCCTCAGTCACACAGGGCTTGGTCAGCGAACCCTCCAACATCCACAGGTTGTTAGGGAAGAATCTACAGGTACATTTGATCACAAAGAGGTAATACAGCCATGCCTTGAAAACCTGCATGTGATTGCTTTTTTGTGTTACATTTCTGTGCATACTATACTACGATATACCCGCTACACATGTGTCTTTCCGGTGTACTCTGCACCCGAGACTTAGGAAAAACACAACTTGGACACCAGTCATTCAGTCTCCACAGCATCTGTGTACACAGCTTGCAAGTTAGTATAAACCTATCCTTAAGATGCCACACAAATTACATATGATGTTACTGCACATGATATCACACGTTAGCCTTTCCTTTTGTTCCTGTTAAAGTAACTGGTTGCTTGCTGGAGCTTCATATTGATTAAAATTGTGTCAGCAGTTTAACTCTCAGTAAAAAAGTGCACAAAGCAAAATCCTTAAAGGCATGGTTGGACGTTTATTCCCCAAAATGCTGAACAATTCTGAGGGACATAGTTGCACTTGTAAGCTTTACACAGCACCCCTCAGCATTGCAAAAAACCTCAGTGTTGCTCAGTTAAGAACATTTAAGGTAAAGCTGTGCGTGTTTGCAGACTGTAGCTGAAAAATATGGAGTCAATAAAAGAAAGCAACTGCACCTGCCTCACCTGGAATCAGCACGAAGCATTGTAGGAGAGGGATTACATTTTGATGGTGGTCTGTTTTTACTGCCATCTTCCACCTGTCCTCTATTCCATCATTTAGTCTGTACTGCTAACCCCGTATCCCTCCATCCGTCTTACCTATACGTCCATGTTTTCAGCTTCTCCAGCTCCAGTGCCACACAAACACAAACAAACTATGTTTTCTTACGTTTTCAATTCTATTTTTATGCTTCATTTTTTTTCCAACTACCTCTCAAACATCTCTCATCACATCTTCTGTTTCCTTCTCTCCACCTCTCTTCCTGTCTCCTCTTCCCCCCTCTTGCCTCTCCACCTCAGCATCAATAGAGGGCCCATCTGTTCCCATACATCATGCACTTCATTTCAGTTTATTAGCTGGGATAAATCATAAATATTTCATTATACATCACGGGCGGCTGTCGCCTGCACACCGACAATTTATCACCGCTGCCCTCTCTGCCGGCTTGCCACGGCGGCTATAAGCTTTCCAGTCTATTAAACAAGATTGATACAGTGTGTAAATTTAGATATTGGGAATTTCTTCACAGACCACTGCTCCGCACTGATAGGCCAGGGTAACAGGAGGGAGGAAAGGGAGGATGGAGGGAGAGGGGGAGAAAGTAGAGAGGCGAGCAGAGGAGCTGGTTTGGTGTTAACACCACTATCAGGGTAGTTACAGTTCCCCCTCTTTAAGATGAGGGGCAAAAGAAGAAGAAAAAAATGATTTGGTTTCAGCCATGTAGCTCTCTCATCTTATGCAAACAGATATGGAGAAATGAGCAGTTTACGTGCACACTGATAAACTGTTTGTGTATCCTGCGTGGGCGTGTGTGTGCGCGCAAATTGAAACAGATAAAAACATACAATAAAATCAGTACATCTAGCTGTAGCGTCAAGGAAGAAAAGCTGCATTAACGAAGCAAACGCTGACAAAAGGGTTTGAAAAGGAACGCTCAGACAACATAGTTGAATTGAGTTTGAAGTACTTATACAGGACTCTTTGACCTTGTCTCTTTGAGGGGAAGGAAGTAACGAGGGATAGAACAACATGTTTGGAGAGACGCACAAGTGGGAATAGCGATTGGAGAACACAGACTGATAAAAGAGGAAAGAAGGGCGGGAGCGGGATTGTTGGGAACTGTGTTACTAGGACGTACATTTACACACACAAATATACACACATGCGTACTGTATGTACTCACACACAACACATGCGTACGCACACACACGCACACAATCACTACTTCAGGCATCAGAGACTCTCCGCCATTATGTGTTATGGCGTCTGAGGCAGATATGGCCGAATGGCTTTCCTAATTAAAACGATAAGAAGCCTAATTGCACTGGGCTTTCATCTCATTCTGAGGCATTAAAGAAAGTGAAGGCACACAGTGTGAAAAAAAGAAATAAAAATAGATCAAGAATTTAACTGAGGATGGAGGGTCAGAGGAAACTTCCACAGTGTCTTTCAGAAAACCAGGAAAATGACATTAGAGGGGTTCGCAGAAGCAGAAAAGAAAACATCAAATTATTTCAAACCAATAACAAGAAAAACAGCATCGTGAGGAGAGGTGAGCTACGAGCAGCTGCAATATTTCCAACTATTTAACCAAGATTACAGTAAAGCAGAAATTGCCTTTGGAAGGTGACTCATTTATTTTAACAAAAATGAATCGCCTTCACTCTTGCTGTGATAATTTTGCAGAATAAAAAATAAGCTTTTGTCGGTGATATCCTTGACGCAGGAAAACCAAACATATTATACTGAACAAACTGTAGGAAAAAAAGTGGAGAAATGAAGGGAAACTGTATAGTTAAAACAAAAGCTGGTGTATGTTTTTGATGGTATGATACAGTTGACAGAGCTGATATACACTGTATGGACAGGCTGGGGTTGGTCGGGGCCCCTTAGTTCAGTCACACAGGCCTGCAGTTGCTAGGGAAAAATGTGTAATCTGAGATTGGCTGGCAAGTGTTTCCTGGAGACTGCTCGCTGTTCCCAGGTGATTGGCTGCAAAGTGGGTATTACACCAAAAACAGAGAAAGTTTTTGTCTTCAGAGTAAAAGTTGTGCCTCACCACTACAACCAACACATGCCAAAAGCTGCAACTTTCACTTTGAAGGCAAGCATTCTCACACTTTTCAGACTCTCACTACCACGCACGATGTGGTAATGAAACTGAGACCAGTTGGTATCTTCCATGCAAACTGCAGGTGATCATGTGCTACCGAACAAAGCAGTTTCAAAGCACGGTTTCACTAATAAACCGCAGTAATCAGAGATTCACTGACATCTGTTTAGACCTTTATGAATGATCTCACAGAGCTGCCACTTACAAACCTGTTAGGGAATTCACATTTTTCTGTTGTGGTTGCCAACAGGTCTTACCTGACGCCTTACTACGATATTCGAAACAATTCTGTGTATCTAACTTCATGAGAACAGTTTACCCTTCTCTGTCTCAGTATGACTGTTGGTGTGTTCCTAAAAAAGCTGGAAGTTGGAATTTCTGAGTTCTCAGTCAGAGCTGAAATCTGGAATTCCCCTTCGACTCGGATTTCCCACCAGGAAAGTCGGAAAAGACCCAGCAACCCCGAGTTAACAATCCAAGATGGCGGCACTGAACAGTCATAAAACTATAAAACTGTTCATCTGCACTGCCAGCGTTGTGTATTTATGACTGCCTAAATAAGCAATAAACAGCGCACTGACCAGCCTCCATCCATAATGTGCTGCAGCAGTTTTTAAATTAAAAGTATAAAAAGAAACAAGTATTATGATCCTATTTTTATATAGGATTTTATAATCCTACTTTTACTTCCTTTTTCTGGAACAT